CTAACATGCTCACTCACATCAGTGTCTAACATATAGTCCGAGGTAAGAAATATCAGTTTTAACTGAGGTTGACATTCAAACCTCTGCTTTCTGCTAAATATACCTGATATTCCACTGCCTGTGAAAATACTGAATTATTGGATTAATTCATAACGATGCTTGGTTCTATCCCTGAAGCTGTTTTCTTGAAAAACATATGTGATTCACATCTCTGCTGTCTGGTAAAATGGCTAACTAGACCAGACATTAAATGATAACCAAAGAAACCTTTATTTCCCCAATTCTTTGTCCAGGTTTTGGTAGCCTAGGGAAAAGCACCGCTGACCCACTTGCTGGATTCGTTTTTGTGCCTCCTAACTGCCCAGGCAATGGCCGCCTCTGTGGGACTTTGCTCTGGCACAGCTCAGTTTCTCTGGAGGCCCAACTTCCTTCTCCGAGGATTTGTTGGCAGTCTTCTTTAGAGGCGTCTTTCGATACAGTATCGAGAATGGCGTTGCTTGGATAGAACACTCAAGATTTAAAAAAACGGAATGTAGCCTGTGTTAGGACTAACTCCTGGGGTAGTCTTTGTGGCCCAGGAGTTTATACCAGCTCTTGGGACACCTGCATCCCATGTTGGACAGCCTGGGATGCAGCTCCACCAGTTTTCTACTTTGCTTTCTACTGTGCACCTGGGAGGCAGCAGATGATGGTTCACATACCTGACTCCTTGCCACCCATGGGGGAGACCTGGGTGGAGCTTCTTGTCCTGGCTTCAGCCTGATTCAGCCCTGGTTGTTATGGACATTGGAGGAGTGTGCCAGTAGATAGATCTCTCTCTCTCCCTCTCTCTCTCTCTCTGTCTCTCTCTCTCTCCCTCTTTCCTTCTCCTTCTCTTTCTCCTTCCTACCCTTCCTCCCTCTCTCCCCCACCCCAGTCACTCTGACTTTCAAATTAAAAAAAAGCTCATCAAAAAATGGAATTAAAAGATAAGCGTATTTAAAAAGGAGTAACTCCTGTTTCTTCAATAAAATGGCTGCTAAGAGATGCAACACACAAATAGCATAATGCAATATATTTTTTCATTAAAGAAAATAACAATGTGTCAATAGTATATACTCTATAGGGTTGAGTTTGAAAAAAAAAATAGCAAAATCCAGGACAGAGCATTCCTGAATAAGGAAGGCCTATAATTTTGTTTTATTTTCTGAGGTACAGAAGCACTACATCTTCAATTGAAACTGGACTCCAGGTGTGTGATCTTGAGCCTTTCTTAGACTAGCAATATGCAGAACGACACTGTCTGAGGATGCTGGGCAGTGGCAGTGTGTCCCAGCTCCGTCAGCCCCATGATCACGAGAGGGAAACGACGGACTCTCTGCAGTGTACTGTGTTGCTAAGTTAGGTGTATGAAATGCGTTTTTGATATTTTCAACTGACCACAGGTTTATTGAAATGTAACCCCATCAAAAGTCAGGGAGCATCTGTGTTTACCCTGTACATATACAAGATAATTTGTTTTTAAGATTTATTTATTTATTTGAAAAACAGAGTTATATGGAAAGAGAGAGAGACAGAGAGAGACAGAAGCCTACCATCCACTGGTACTCTCCCCAAATGGCTGCAACAGCAGGGCTGGTCCTGAAGCCAGGACCTTGGGACTCCACCTGGGTCTCCTATGTGGGTGACGGGGTCCAAGCACTTGAGCCCTCTTCTGCTGCCTCCCCAGGCACATAAGCAGAGATCTGGCTCAGCAGTTGAGCACTTGGGATTCCAACTGGCACTCTGATATGGGATGCCAGCATTACAAGCAGCCACTTACCCTGCCGTACCACAATGCAGGCTGCACAGAATGATTTTAAAGAGAGTAAGAGGTATTGAGATGAGGGCAAATGAGTCATTATTCATACCATATCTGCTTCCTTCGCCACCATTATAGCTCAGTATTGGCACACTGACCAGCACATAGTCCACATTCAGCAGGACTCTGAGGATGGAAGATGTGGCTACATGGCTGGTAGATGGCTGAGAGTAAAAGGAGGGGCTGCCTGGTTTTCTTTTTGTGGGCTTTAATAATTTTGCTTCCTAAATTGGAAATTTTCTTCAAGGCAAATTTTCTTCATTCCCCTCTTCTTGCTTTTTCCTATCTTCCCTTCTTAAATCTTAAAGATGTAACATGTATGATTGTTATTGTTTCGATGTGGTGAACTGGTTAGAAGTCTGGAGAAAATTAAGTTTTTGTTCCTTCTTGTGCTTCGCAAATTTCTCAGATGATCAGTGAGCCACCCCAGAGAATGACTTGATACCAGGGTCTTTGGGCAAAAAGAGACATAGTGAAGGTAATTATCAGATAACTTCTTACCTTAGAGCAGGAGTTCTTAAATACAAATTGACAAGCAGATACAGCAATCCTGAGCCACATGAAATAATACACAAATTATATATGCATACATGTGCAACTGCTGGAGTAAAAGAATTCATTTATAGCTTGTGTTAAATCCAAATACCAAATAGGTCGAGAACAACTGAATTAGAAGGTTTGGTCTATAGTGGTGTATTTTGTTTGTAGGAAAATTCTAAAGGCATTTGAGAAGAAAATGAACAAAGTGTGGAATTGCCAAACATTTTTCAGATCTAGAATCTATTCAAAGGCTTCTTTCTTGCAATCTCACACCTCTTTTGAAATTTATTTGGCTGCTGCTTCTATGTTTTCAAAGTCAGGGTTTGGGACCCTCAACCCAGTGTTAGGTACATCAGTTGAAAAATCCATGCTGACGGATGTCATTTATTCCCAGGACAGAAAGAGCCCTTCTGGGCAAATCCACTGATAAGCCATTGAGCAAGCACAAAGAAGATGATATTTAGTGGTGCAATGAGCCATTCTTGCATAGCTAATTTAGTTTTAACTGAACTTACAAACACTAACCTTCTCACTGTAGTGAACTTCTGCAGAGACTGTGTATTATTTTTCTTTAAATTTCTGGAAACTTTGTCTGATTTGAACCTTTGTCTCTTATTGTCCTTGTCTTAGGTCACCTTCTACTCTGATTGAATTCTTTACATGCTGAACTGGAATTCGGGTTTGATTTTAGTGTGGGCTCCCAGACACCTGACTCAGTAGCTCAGCTGATGATCTCTGCTATTCGTATTTGTATCACAGCAGCTTCTCAACTTACGTAGTTGTCACTGCTGTTGTCACAACCCAGGCTACTGTGTTGTTCCTGGTCATAATTTAATTACTTTTTTGTTCCAGATAATTTACTTATTTGTTGATTCATTCATTCACCAAACATCTGTGGGCACCTGCTGTATCCAAGTGATGTTCCCAGTTGTGAGGGAAATGGAAAGCTGAACATTATACATAGGGTCGCTGCCTTGTGCCAGGTTAGGGCACATGACAACAGAAGCAAGCCAAAGCTTTAAGCCCTCCTCAAGATCACAATATTTAAATAAGTGGTTAACCATATATTTAGACATTTGGCAAATCTGCAGGCAAGTAGGGGATGTTTGAACAACTGGATCAGCAGAGGCCAAAGATGCTGTTAAACAGGGGGTGATCAACAGGAACGTCTCCCTCAGCAAAGGGTGACTTGGGTCAGTTGCTAGTGGGGCTAAGGTTGGGAAGGCCTGATTGAGAGGCAATGATGTTCCTTCTGAGAGACTTGGGCAAGGCTGGAGGAGAACTCGGAGGCAGTGGCCTCTCCTCCAAGGCCCCGAGCAAGTCCACTCTTACTGAATTAATCCACAACAGAACCAGAGAGCCTTCAGAGGAATGGAGTTGCATTTATCTCAGTGAATTTCCGGGGAGGAATTGACCTTCCTCAATGACTGGCCGCGTGGTGCTTTCCATTTGCCTGCTCCTTAACCTGCCTCTGCTTGTTCCTAAGGAGCTTACTGTTGAGGATGGAGGAAGTACAGCTATAGCAGACCCTATGATGCTGTGTGAGAAATCCTGAGAGAGCCCACAGCAGTTGATGATTTGGGAGCACTAAGCAATTAAACTCTGCCTGGGGGGTCTGGGCAGGCCTTCGGAGATGAGGCGGCATTTGAGCAGGGGCTTTGATGGCCATATCCGCCATATGGCTGCAAGCATCCACTTTCCTCATGTATGCTATGCCCTACGTGATTGCATTTGTAACTAGTGATGAGATTTTGTTTTTACTGCTCTTTCAGGAAAACCTGCTTCTCTATTATATGGCATTGAGCAAAACCTCCTTATAAATTGTGCATGCCCAACTTGGCAGTGTCTTTTTTTCCTCATATCTTTTTTCTATTAAAGATTTCAATATAAATGGTTTCAACTGTGCAATTAGAGGTGTTAGAGTTTTGTAGTGGTTCAGGGCTGCCAGCTCTCGATGAATGAATTACATGTCTTGTTTTGTTGCTTTTGAATTATATGTGTGTTTATAAGAAAACTTTCTCCAGGCTATCGTCTGAGGTAGCTTGTACATACATGGAAAATATATTTCACAACCCATGTAGGCATTTACAAATGATCTTCTGATACCTCCATGTTCCAAAATATGACTGTGTCCTGTAGCAAAATCCAGCAGAAAATCATTGCTTGCAAGTCCCTGTTCAACTAGAGTGTCACCATGAAATGTGTTTGTGAAGCTATTGATCGACAACTTTGCCATGAGAGGTGCAGGAAAGTAGAACACATGTTATATTTCTGGTACAGGAGAACATTAGGGTCCCAGTACTGTGGTTATCTAGATGTTAAAGGATTTATCTTTATTTTCTGAAGTTTGTGCTTTGACATAAGGGGCCGCACGTAATGGGGAATTTTCTTTCAATTCAGAACATGCTGTGATGTCACAGAAAGGGTACCTTTATGTTTGATGACTTTCAAAGAGTTTGTCCTTTTCTTGGTAACTTTTTCAAGACATTTTATTGCAGTCTTTGTGTTAGGAATATATATGGTTCAATTATTTGGTTTTAATTTGGGCTCCAAGCTGAGTAGTTATAAACGTGCTGGTCAGCATCATTCTTCACCAGGATGTTTTCCTTTTTCCTTCTAGTCTGATGCCAATGCAAGTTACTTAAGAGCAGCTCGAGCTGGACACCTAGAAAAAGCTCTTGACTACATAAAAAATGGAGTCGACATCAACATTTGCAATCAGGTTAGTCGTGGTTCTTGTGTTATTTTTTTATTTAGATACCCAGACTTTAAACTCCTTAAAGCTTTCACTAAATGTAACAAAACTGCCTTTGTTGTTTTCCCTGAAAATTTGACCAGCTTGACATGATTGAATTATTTCTTGATTTTTTTTTTATTATGAAAACATTCAAAAATGTGGCTATTGGTTCTAATTAATTAATTCCTAGAATGTAGCAAATAATAATAGGACAACCCACCTAGTTTTCAAGTATTATTATTTCTAATTCAAATTCCTGTACCACACACACAGAAGTGGTTGCTGGTGGAATGTCATCTTAGCATTTCTGGGTAGGCTGTTACCTGCTCTGTTTTCAACCTGCTGGATAAAGCCTTTCCTTCACTTTTAACCAGAATGGGTTGAACGCTCTCCATCTTGCTTCCAAAGAAGGCCACGTTGAAGTCGTTTCTGAGCTGCTACAGAGAGAAGCCAATGTGGATGCAGCCACAAAGGTCAGTATCTCGTCATCACTTGCTAAATTCAGGTTTCAGCTGTTGATAAGAATCAGGGTAGGGTATGCATGAGATACTCATCCACTTTGTTCTCTTTGGAAAGCTTCAAACGTCCAGAGCTTTGGAAGCTGGGTGAACTGATGTGTCTGGCTTTTCATTTTACAGAAAGGTAACACAGCATTGCACATCGCATCTTTGGCTGGGCAAGCAGAAGTGGTCAAGGTCTTGGTTACAAATGGAGCCAATGTCAATGCACAATCTCAGGTAAACCTGCACCTCTACTGCCAAGACATTTTGTTATCGATAGTGTTCTTTGCTTGGTTCACATGTCCTCTAAGAACACAATGCTTAAGAGCTGCATTGAAGTATTATATGGTTGCAGATCATGTAAATGCATCTTCCTTCGCAGTACGTACGTGTGAGAGGTGGAGATTGTTAGAGGTCATCCATCTATGAAACTCTGTGCCTGGAGGTTGAGGACACCAATGTTGAAGACATATCTGTAATGCAGAGTCTTGTACTATCTTACAGTGCTGGCACAGGTCCAGTCCTTGGTATTTGTTAAACTACAAAGGAAATAGGAATGCTTGTACATGAGGAAATGCTCTTAGAATTTCAGAATGTGTCAGCTCTTTCTCTCGTAGAATAAGGGAAGAAACTGCTTAATCCCTGTTCACTAAGGCCTCCTTATTTTCTGAAACAGGTGAAAAACAAAACAGAAACAGGCAGAGGAAACTCTAAGAGTGCTCAAACTTTAAAATGTTTCAATTATTTGTGACTGATGTAGACCTTTTAAATCTCACAGTCCTGCGTGAAGTTCTAAGAATATCAGTCGATTATCATTTGGTAGACTTTGAGTCTAAAAGAATTCACTTCACTTGATTGGTCTCAGAACATGGGTCCTCACGACATAGACAGGTACCAAAACAGCAGATGGTGCACATAAATATGTATAATTTTTATGTGTCAGTTAAAATTTCCGTAAGTGTTAAAATAAAGAATAAAACCAGCACAGACATTATTCAGGTCCCCATAGACATGATGTTGGGTAGGGAAGCAAAATCATCAAAACAAAAATATCGACTGAGGACTGTACCACTTTTAAAATTGCTCCTCACGCAAACGTTCGAGCTGAATGGTGATATCTGTCCCTCCGAGGGCACTTCAAAATGTCTGTGGAAAGTAGCATTGAATGGTAAGTGTATTTCAGTGAAAGGAAATTTTGAAATCCATGCCTATGAGTGGCTTTCAAGAAGTTTGCAAAAAATGTCTATTTGTGAGGTGCTATGCCTTCACTTCAGACATTTTTTACATCAAGCTAACTATCTTTCAATCCATTTTCTATGACATTTGTGAAGTTCCCTCGTATTTAGCAGCATCTCCACCAACATGTTCAGTGTTGAACAAATTGATGACAGAACAAAACTGCAAGTTTTGCCGAAGACACAAGGTTTCATCAAGTCACCAGATGATGTCAGAGGACAACTCAGCTGTGGGTACCCGGCTTTCTCACAGCACTGGGCCAGGCAGCCTGTGAAGAGTTAAGCTGTCTTCCTGATAGGTGTTTCACATGTCAATGATTTGAAAATGAAAAGATTAAATGAGGGGGAAAGAGAGAGAGACGGAGTAGTGGTTTTTGCTTATGCTGTGTAAATGAGGGAGTGAAGGAAAGCATGATATTACATGGCTTTGTTGGAAAAGTGACACCTCTGCTTCCTGGATCTCACACTTTGGGTAGTCTGTTCATTCTGAGAACTCGTTCAGGAGTGCAATTCTAATGTACAGTTTAAGTCACATCGACTTTCACTTCTGCAACCTCTATTTTTTTTTTTCAATTGTTAAAGGACTTTATTAATACATTAGATTCTCAGGGTAATAGCAAATGTGTGATAATCACAGCACACTTCTCATCAGTTCTCATGTTAACGTCATATGAATACAGAGGTTGTGGTTCCTGGATAGAATTCTACGGATGTAATGACACTTCCCAAGATTAAGCTGCAAGCAAACGTTTCTCATTATGTACTGTGGCCTTTTGATCTCAATTTTAATGGCATTCCATTTCATCTACTGTTTCCAGTACTGGTTATATTTGGATAATGGGCAACTCTTCTACGTTATGGGTCCCTGAACTGCAGTGACTTCCTCTTCCATCTGTGACAGTGATAGCTTGGTAGCCCCTAACTAACTATCCATGTCCTGGAACAGGAACTGCTCGGTGCTGTTAGCTGCGTGGCTATCTGTGTCTTTGCTCAAATTTTCTCGGAGTTCCTTGTGTTTGGACCTTTGTTAGACAGATATATGGCAAATACTCCAATACCCTGGGAGAGCTCCCTGTGAAAGCCATACTTTTCCAGGAAGGTTGACGATAGGCAGGAATAGTACTTTCAGAGCAACACAGGCCAGCTGACCCCAATAGAAGCATCCGGCTTCTAAACTAATTTTCTCAAAGTGTCCCTATAATTTTTTTTTAACTGAAAAAATATCCAGTGTAAGGCTCTGAGATAATGGGAAAATTCCTTAACTCATTTTCATTTCCTTTTTGGTTTTCCTAAGGGAGGAAAAATAAGCCTCCTTCTTGTAAATATTTCACACATTCTTGACTAAGGCTTAAAGCAGCAGTAGTGTTCAACCTGCTCTGCAGTGTTTGGGAGAAGCTGCAATTGGAATAAAATCCTTGTCGGTTTTCAATTCAATTTATACACATTCCACACTGATGATGCAGCGAGGGGGAGGAATATCGGCTGTGAAATTCTCTGCTCCTGGCAGCTGTGCTCGGAACACCCTGCCACGCAGTGCTCCACCCTCATCTGGGCACCTGCCCGCCTGTGCCTTAGGAACCACATCATTCCACGAGTAGAATGAGTAATGAGAAGGTCATGCAGCGGAATGGAGTTTCTGTGATAATTCCTGGTAGCAGCTCTTCAATCAGAACCATTACAAAGAACAGCAAGGGAGGATTACGTGAAATGAGATTAAGTTCCATTTAGGTGGCAACACACAAAACATCACAGCAAAATTACTCTTCAAGAAATACACTATCTCTAGCTAGGTGAAACTTTAAACCATAGCCAATTTTTTTTTTTAAAAAAGAAATCTATCTATTTGAGAGGTAGAGTTACAGAGAGAGGGAGAGACAGAGAGAAAGGTCTTCCATTCACTGGGTCACTCCCCAAATGGTCGCTATGACCGGAGCTGAGCTGATTCAAAGCCAGGAGCGTCTTCCAGGTCTTCCACGTAGGTGCAGGGCCCAAGCACTTGGGCCTTCTTCCACTGCTTTCTCAGGCCATAGCTGAGAGATGGATTGGAAGAGGAGTAGCCAGGACACAGACCAGTGCCATATGGTATGCTGCAACACAGCGCCAGCCCTTATAGCCAATATTTCGTAGCCAACAAAATATAGAAGGCCTCTAACTTACCTGACCATGAAAATTCCCCTTTTCTTAAACGTAAAAAGTGGCATTTAGCTGGCGCCGCGGCTCACTAGGCTAATCCTCTGCTTTGCGGCGCCGGCACACCGGGTTCTAGTCCTGGTTGGGGCACCAAATTCTGTCCCGGTTGCCCCTCTTCCAGGCCAGCTCTCTGCTGTGGCCCGGGAAGGCAGTGTAGGATGGCCCAAGTGCTTGGGCCCTGCACCCCATGGGAGACCAGGATAAGTACCTGGCTCCTGCCATCGGATTCACACGCGGTGCGCCGGCCATGGCAGCATTGGAGGGTGAACCAATGGCAAGAGGAAGACCTTTCTCTCTGTCTTTCTCTCTCACTGTCCACTCTGCCTGTCAAAAAAAAAAAAAAACCAAAAAACAAAAACAAAAACAAAAACAAAAAAAAACAACTTGGAATTGGAATTGAATTCAAGTGACTCTTATTTAGATGGAATAACTTAGCTGATAGGGGTTTGCATGTATTATTATTGGGTCCACTCTAGAAGGATGCAGTTGTTTATGTGATATGGTTTAATGATTCCCTAAATACTAAATAGCAAATCACACTGCCTCAAAAGACAGTATTTATTCATATTTGTGAAAGCATTTATTTTCAAAAAATCTCTCTTAAGCACAAAGACTTTTGGAACGAGACCTCTGTTTGAGACAGTGTAGTGAGTTCACTTTTTAATGACCTTTTTTGGTCCAAATACAAAGTTATAACATATAAATATAAAAGCAAGAAACTCAAAAGGATATAAGTGTGATATAAAGTACTTTCATTATTTCTGAGGATGAATAATAGGACAAAAAAATTCATCAAGTGCTAAGTAAACCTGAAGTCCCTTCTAGTCTCTGTGTTTAAATGTAGGCAGAGGCTATTGGAAGTCCAGATGCTGTGTGGTAAAGGAATTAAAAGTGCTTTACAAAAGATGTATGGTCTGA